GAGCGAAGCGATATTTACAGGAGTGTGAGAAAAAGCACTAGACTTATGTCAGCCCAGTGGGAATGAAGTCATAACTCTGTGGCATGCCACATATGAAAGAAGTCAGCCCCGGCGCTCCCAACCCTCCCGAAATCACTTGCGATGTCTTAGCTAAAGAACTAACTGTCTAGCGGAGCCCTCCATCTCAAGCCTTCAACAGTTGCCTTTGAAAAGCTGCAGGCATAATGAGACCTACGATATGCTGATAATAGTGCGGCTAGTAGCAAGACTCCAAGAGTCTGAGGGCTTTTGCTTTCATATCACGCTGCGGCCTCGTGGCTTCTCCATGTCCACCCTCTGTACCAGGTAGCCTGCCAGGGCCTGCTGTGCCAGGAGCGATTTATACTTTGTACAGTCTGCACGTTTTTGCCTTTACCTCATGCCCGCTACACACATTTGCACACAGCCCGCCTCTCCAAAATGTACCTTCCGATGTACTGTACACAGTCGAGCCACACTCTTCGCCTAGGCACCCGTTCAACACAGTTAGCGCAGGTTCAACTTTTGGTTCAACTTTGTAGAGCTCTTTGGATGTGTGCCAAGGCACACCCAGAAATGACAGCACAGACCTTGGTCGCACATGTCGCGCACAAGCGTTGAAACGGATTACCATGGTCTCTCTTGGCACAGGCGCCGAGTACGTCCTCTCCCTTGCTGCACGTCGTGCACCCCACTTCCAAACTAGGCAACATTATGTGGGCAACGTGCCACGAATCACGGCGCTGCGTCCTCTCTCGCACATTCAACAAGTGCGGTTGTCTACGCAAACTTGTGAACCAACTGCTTGAAAAGAAAGAGCTGGGTTTGTTTCTGCGGCTGCCCTCACAAGCAACCATGAGACCATGTAAGACATTACTAAGTGCATTGGTCCTACACCCTGTAGCCGTTCCTGAAGCTGCGGAGCTTTTGTCACAACCCGTGCCTGTAAGAGGGCTGCCAGTAGCTAGAAGTGTCATCATCACTTCACCATGCGCGAACGAGCTCAGCAGAATTTAACACTGCAGAGAAAAGCAGGTTGGCCAGCATCCGAAAAGTATGCGGCCCACTTTCAAAATTTTGATTAAGGTGTCCCACGCTCCGTTCGCGCGCACACGCGGGTTCCATGCAGAACCTGAGACCCCCGCGCATTCAGCATCATCAGCGAATGGGATTCCTGTACCATCAAGCTGCCAAATTGAAGTCGTAAAGCTCTTGCAACACCCGTCCTGCACAGTCGATGCTTGCGTCGATACCTCGGAACACCTCCATTGTGCAGCTTGTTCAATAAACATCACGCATTAACAACACACATTTCACAAGCTGAGAGTTGTTCAAATTTTGGTGTTTGAGACGCGGCCTCCCAGGGCTTCCAGGGTCCTGAGTTTCCTTCAAATCCATGTCAGGTCCTGAGTTGGACTTGCGCTTTTCTCCGAACTGTTACTCAAGCATGCAAGGGCATCGCGCGACGATAATTTCATGCCCCCGCCCGCCGCCCCCCCTCCCCCCGCCTAGTCGAGGACTCATGGGTCTTGGGGACGGAGCCTCAATCCTGATGGAACTGCTCAGCGAGTATCTGCACTGCACCCTCTGCACCACCTCCACCTCCGTTGAACTGCTTTGCAGCTGTGTCGCAGCTGGCAGCAGTCAGCACCCAAACCGGCAGCATCCTCGTAGATGTGGCATGCCACTTGGCTGTTGACTGCAAGCCTCTGCATAGATGTGACGGCATTCTCCACTCATTCCAACGCGCCCAAGCAACTGCTGACAGGAGGGCCTAGCCTGCACTTTCCACAGAAATCGTTGCGGTGCACATAAACGCGTCCTCCGCCGCGAAAGCAAAACATTTGAGCAGGCCGAAGGAAACCTGAAGACTCGACGGGCCTCCATGCCAAGCTGCCTTGACATGATGGACGGGCTCCTCAAAAAGTAGCCAGCCTCAAATCGACAAATCCTGAAATGTCACAGCTGCATCACTTGACACAATGTACGATCGGTGTCGGGATGTGCATGTGGCAGCATTTATTAAAGCCGTTCGGAACAGAGCGAAATTCTAGCCAAGCGGAACAAAAAAGAAAGTAAGTACGGAACAGATCGCACTCTTCTCAAACCGGAGTTATCCAGATTCAGAAGCGGAAGATTGTAATGAGCGCCGAAATCGATCGCAGCTAATGGAAGGTTTATTGACATGGCCTGAGACACCCGAAACGACCTTTTCCAAACTTAATTGGGGGACCCCTCATCCTTCAGAATCGTCCAGTTGTTCGGGGAGGAAGGGGGTTTACTGCTGTCCCAGGAACCATGCTTCTCGCCAGGCCTCCACGACACAACCGTGGCTATCACCTTGACGCTTGTCAATCCTTGGCGTTGCCGTATAACAAGCACCAATACTACACTTGCACCCAGCGAGGGAGGCCTCATTATACTGCTGAGGCACTTTTTCGTTTCAAGTTTGGGCCAGATGGCCACCATCGCGGCGCCTGCCACACGCCAAAGCAGGAGAATTGCTGCCGACTGGCCCGATGGATGATTTCCGAGCCTTGCCACGCCACCACTGCACCTTCCGGAAACTGAATTGAACACGAGGCTTGGCCCTTGCTTTACGAGTCGATGCCTCGCCCTCCCATGGCCAAAATGGATGCCACGCACACCAGGCTTCAGACATGGCGATGTTGCGTGCGTCGCTGGGAATATTTCGTTTTTGCTGTTGCCTCCATACTCTGCCCACTCACGTGACCTACATCCTGCAAAAATAATCCTACGAACTTCAACGGCAAAGTGCCCACGTGAGCTTCAGTTGTAGCTATCAAGGCTTTCTGATCCGGATGGGCGGCATGCGCGGGGCTGGTTCATCTTCCGCACAGTCTGCTGGCTCGTTTAAACACCCAACTATCGCTTTCCGGCGCTCATGGAATTGACCCCAGCAGTGAACCTGACAACGCCTCATGTCTGTCACCAGCTGTCTCTTGGGACAGTCTGAAAATCTGCACGGCCCAGCCGCCGACTTGGGAGCCCACACCCTACTCTGCGCATTCAGGCTTGCCTGCTCGCCAAAGGGAAGTGCCCCGATGAGCGTCCGCCAGCTTATTATGCCCAAAAGTGGATACACTATCCTCACGCCCCGTCAGAAGCCCGGCAACACCGCCAACGTGGATCATCTCCATCCACAGACAAACTTTAAAAGCTTTCAATCCAAAACCCCAGCGCACACGAGCCACACTTCCGATTTGGTGACCTGGACAACGGGTTCATCCTCGATCCACTCAAGAGACATTTGTCTATCTCCACTACGTCGCCGCTACGATGCCGCTACGATACCTTGTACCTTCTTGATCTACACGACTGCTTCAATAACCACACCCCAACACGGCTTCCAGGTTTGACACCTCTGTTTACACATGGTTCAAACACACGGTTTGGTCCTTCAGAAGGCCCGTGGTGCAGTTGCCCATCACCCTGCAGGGAATTATGACACATCGCTGCCCAACCTGTGAACGCTTTCTCTTTGAAACTGGCGGTGCTCTCCGTCTTAGATTTGCAAGACTCATTGCCCTCAATCCCTTTCCCAAGCTTTCGACACGGGACCCGACGCCCCAACTCACCAACAGGCTGGCAAAGTGGCATGCACGCCGACAAATGTGTATTTCAAGCTTCTTCACTTCATGCGAATTAAACCCTCCCTCGTATGTTTGACGCTGAGTACAATGAAGGCCCTCAATGATGCAGAGTTTCGAAAAATTGCTCAGCACCCAGAAATGATCTGAGGGCGCTCAATAAAGGGGTGTTGCATCTGCCTAAAGATGCCTAAAGACTTGTTTGCGAAAAGCGCTGGCTTCAAATTCAAATCATATGAAAAAGAAATCCGACTGCCGGGACTGCTGGATCCGTGGATTGTTTGGGGCGGGTCCGCCCCCAAATACATTAAATGAGGACCGTCATGTGCTTTGAAGTGGGGGGGAGGGGGGGGTGGGCGGGGGCCTACACTATTCAGGATCGAACATTGCTCACACTTCCACATGTAAGAGGCTCGATACCCCGTGGCAATCGCTTATCATGGCTTCATACAGAAGCGAGCCCCCTTGCAATGATGCGTGGCTCTGACATGATTGTTGACATCTCGCAATCATTTATAGCTCCTCACACACCCTGCCCTGCAACCATTGATAAGTCTGCACCACGCTTCTGCCAGCTTGGAGCAGTTAATGCCGATACGGGCAGTTTGCCCTTCGGCAGCGCTGGCCATACCAGCATCGCCCAACACCCTTCCACGCGCGGAGTAGAATCCGAAGCCTGCATATTTTCACAAAGGATACAGCATTGATGACGGGCCCTCCTGAGGGTAAAACATCCCCCAATACATGTAATTGCTGCTTAGCGGCCAACCCTGGAAGAGCATGCGCGACGATAACACGCGATCCAACGTCATCATCAATGCCTGGAAAACACAACCCAACACTCGGCCCCGGCATGTCCAGTCAGAAGAATGCAGCACCTCGCGAAAGCTCCTCATCTGAATTGTGGGGTCGGGGGTTCCCGGGTCGCGCAGGTTGGGGAGGGGCGCGAGAGCGCCCCCGTCAGAGGCCCCGGGCCGGGGGAGTGGGAGCGCGTTGCGGATCTCAACCAAGGCAGCAAGAATCAAACGCATGTCCAAACCAGAGTTCATTGCGGCGACAAACGGAGTCAATCCAATCACTCAACTGCGCGGCGACAGCTGTCCGCGAAGATACATGCGCACAGACCGACATGTTGGGCGTCATTATCTCACTAAAATCCCACATGTATTCTTCTAAACTTTTCTCAGATATACGACACGTTAAATCATCATAATTCGGGAATGATATTTTTGGTTTGTTTTAGACACTTCTACACCACATTCCTGATCGTATTGTGACAAAATTGAACCTAAAACGTACAAGTTGCCGCCCTGCCGATACTAATTTCTGAACAAATTGGTCTGCGAAATGTAGAAAATCTTCATGACAACTTCAAGACGTCGGACTTTTTTGATCTTCAGGACTAAGCATTTGCTCAGAGTTCCAGAGATCGCGCCTGCGGCGGATGGTGATGGGCACAGGACATTCTCCGGTGAAAACAACAAGCATGAACCCAGCATGAAACCCTGCCTCTCGTAATCTGAGGGTCCTCCGATCACTGAGCATTTGGCGATTTGGATTGTCCTCATCGCATTCGTTCCTCGGACCACGGAACATCTAGGGCTGCTAGGCGCACACCTGCTTAGCTTGAAAACTTCGGATATCTTCAGAGCGACGTGACCTGCTATGATTCCACACTACCCAGTAAGTCACGGACGTCGTGTACGACCAAAACTCGTTGGATTTTCGATAATCTCCAACCTTGCAACTGGCCACTCGTGACTATCTCACAGAAACACGCACATGCTGGTTGCAACCAAGAGCATATATAAATTTCAATATCGTGCGCGTTCCACCGTCTGTTGATGAAACACAATGCGTCGCGGCATTGACTCCTCAGGGCACAGGCACAAGCCTTCACCGAGTCCAACAAAGAAAGTCAACTAAGTCAAGCACTCAGAGATGCTCTGAGTGCATCGCCAACCATCATGAGGGAATTTGGCTTGGTTTGGACCAGGTGCAACCTGGGAGCCGGAATGCCAATAACACGTACCTAAACATTGCCTAAACGGTCAGATGCTGAAGAGACGACTTGCCCGCTGCGTCCCAGAAGCTCACCTTCAGAACAAGGGGAGCAGCAAGGAGCGCAAGAAGCCCGAGAACTGAATCCTTACAGTAACGATCGCCGGCATCACATTGCAGCGTGAGTCGTTGTCAACCGTGAAAGCAAATTCCAGATCTTTGCGCGGCACCTGTCCAGCATGTTGGTGCACCTCTCTCAAGAAGAAAGTTCGAAGCTCTCCTTGTACATCTGCAAATCAGGATGGCATCCCATTCCTCTGCTTTCCTTCCTGTCATGATTTGTATAGCTTGCCAAAGCTGAAGGTAAGAGACTCGGGATAAGAGCCGCGCCCATACTCACGAACTTCGATTGGAAAATCCGATGGCCACATGGGCCCCTGCAAGCAGCTGTGTGCAAAACCAACATCCCCTCAAAACACAATGTATACAGAGCTATATAGAGTAGAACTCGCCTCAGGGCCCCCCACCGCGAACATTTGAAACAAGCTTTCCCGCTTCCCCATCCAACCTTTCCCCCACATCCCAAACACATCCACCTAGGAGCTTGGGGACTTGGGGACTTGGGGGAAGTGCAAGATGATGCTGTGTGGGGGGGGGGGGGGGTGTCCAGATTGTGGGCCTTTCAAGCAGCATGGGTATTGTTGTGGCTCGTCAGTGGCCGGTTCCGGGAATGACTTGCTGACCCTACGGCCCTACGGTAGCTACGTAGCTACGGTAGCTATGGAAGCGGCATCCCATCTCTGGGCGCTTTGCGGGGTATGCGAGAGCTTTGAAAACCATTCATGTGGGACTACCGAAAGCTGCCTTCTATCTTGCAAGGTGCGACACGCATTCCTTTATTGACCGCCTCCACAGCCATGGCAGGATGGGTATGTCTCAGGGCCTACAATTAGCTTTTTTCGATCGCAGTCCAAAGGTCCCTACCCAAGCTTCACTCGGCAACAAGCACACGAGCACAGACAACAAGCACAACACTGCAAGCTTTCACTGCCAATCAAGGCGAACAGCGAACAAGGCTTCAGACCTCCAGCAAACCTATACATCCATCCCCCCAGCTCACATACGTTGATAATTCCAGGTTTTGGGTTTACGTGTCGGCTGCTCTCCAGATCTCTCCAGCAAGTTTGTCCTCGACCCGTAGTCGTTTTCCGTATCTGCAACCCGACTGTGTGGATAGAAACTCCCAAATGCACTGCTTGGACCGCCGACGTGCAAGTCCCATGGCTTGGGCTGGCCCGTCTCGAGGCGGCGCACGCAAGAGCATACAATGAAAATAGGAAGAAGACGAAGAAGTCTAAAGAGCCACATACACGCATTCCAACTCTGCTGCGCTACTTTGGTAAATGCTTAAACTTGGCTCTCGGGTACCTAGACATGTGTACTGATCATCTAGAACTCGACACCTTGGATTAGAGGAGCTTACAGAACGCTTCGGATGTTGCGAGGCCAAGGCTAAAAGTGCAAGCAACAAAACATGATATTGGATGTCCGCTCTAAGATACACGACAGCTTGATATTAAGCCCTGTTTTGGCTTAGATGGTTCGTTAAACTCTGAGCACTCGAACCAGGAATAGCAATGTTGTCATGTTCTTACATGTTAGAATGCTTAGGTGTGATCATGCTTGAGTTCTCTTTGTCTCGTTGAGAGATGCCATTCTCTGCTAACCGTTCCACAAACTCCACTTCGAATGAAAGAGGGTCATGCTCCTGTTAAGATTCCCTCCTCCCCTCCGCTCCCCCCTTCCTCTCTACCCGCCCCCTCTCCACCCTCCCCCCTCCTCCCCCGGCTGATTCCACGGCTTGACCACTAAACCAGCCTCGGCGTTCACGGCCGACACCCACTGACGGAAAGGGTCATTGCCTTGATCGAGATTTTGGCAGCACAGGCAACTGAGAGAATGCAGTGCTCGCGGAAACGCAGTGTCTTGGGGATACCACCGCGCCTTGGAGAGTGTGTTCATACGCGGCAAGAGTCAAGAGGTGAGTTGAGACAACGAGGTCTCCAGAGCTTCGAACCTTCTGCGATCCCTTTTCAGGATTGTTCCTCCTCCCGGCTGCCTGTCCGCACACACTCAGCCCACATGTCGTGCCTTGTGCCCTGAGCCGGAAACATCAGAAAACGACAACAAACAGTTTGACAGGCCCTGGCTTCCTAGTGCCCTACTGGGCGACTCAAACAGTTTGAGAAGAGGTACTCAGGAGAAGAAGGGCAACCGTGAACAGCGCTTACGTGTGCAGCACCTGGCCCTTCCACGGCAGCACATCCGGCTGACGCAAAGATGACGAGGAAAAGACAACACCAACTGCCTATCGGGATTAGGGACCGAACCGACCCTCATGGAAAAAAACACAACGAAAGCTACCACCGCTCAGATGTTTGTTTAGATCAGAGAACTGAAAGACCGGTAGTAAGGAAAAACCAGGGCCCCTTCAACACCCTGACAGCTGAGACTCTAACCTCAACCCCCCCCCCCCCCCCCCCCCCCCCCTTACCAAAAACTTTTGAGACGTCCTTTACCAAAACATCAGCCCTCGAATGCCAGGAACCTTTGAAGAATGATCAAGACTTGCCACCCCCCCCCCCCCCCCCCCCAAAGACAAACCTCAAACCACTTGAATTCTCAGATACCTGCAACACCCTATTCCTTCAGCCCCCAGCCCTACATCCAAACCCGATCTTAACCCCAAACCTCAAACAACATCACGCAGTATACTCTGCCAAGATGCCATAGATCAAGCGGTAAAGGCTGGAGTTTCGAGGTACATGGTCAAGGACGTATCCTCTCAGCATCACCCTACATCTTCGTGAAAGCAAACGGCGTGGGCACAGCGGTCGAACTGAAATGCATGTAGCCTCCAAGTCTATTCCTGCCGTCCAAATTGCAGTTTGCCTTGCATCTTGGAGTCTGTCCGAGCAAGTATATGATTGAATGCCCCAAAGCTAGCCTCCAAAGACACGTATACGTGAGAGGCGCAATATCGTGCCTCGATGTCTTCAGAACGCCATAATCTGTCGGTTTCTGCCTGGACCAAAACTTTGCACACTAGCAAGTTGCCAGGAGTTCCCCTCGAGGTAAGAGTCTGCCCTAGTAAAGTACTTCATCCGATATGTGGATCGAAGGCGTCTGTGGCGGCCCTGATCCTATGATCCTGCGACATTCTGCGGCTGCCTTGATGGCCGCAAAGGTCTGCGGATCGAAGAAGTCCGGGGCGTAGATGATATGGTCATTTGCCTCAGGCCAGAGCCAGAACCGCTTTACAAGTCACATGCGGCCAACAAGAGAGAGAGAGAGAGAGAGGGAGGGAGGGAGGGAGGGAGGGGAGGGAGGGAGGGAGGGAGAGAGAGGGAGAGAGAGAGGGAGAGAGAGGGAGAGAGAGAGAGAGAGCCCTTTGTAAGGCCTTTGAGGCTCAAGAGCGTTGAGATGCGTTGAGTGTAGCCCTCTTGGGAACGGCTGGCCGCTTTTCGAGGTTGGGAGCGGGTGCAAATGCCGCTCACCGGCCTTGAAGGTTTTCGCCTGATCCGCAAGGCCTGGTGGGAGACGTCGTCATAGGATTTCAGAGTGTAAAGTCTAAAGAGCCTGAAAATTTCTACTCAGAAGGCGCCTGTCAGCACCGTTTCGGACACACTGGGGGAGAAGCTGGTGTCAGCATCCTGCTACATGCAGGCAACACCATGCTGAACATGGCTGCACTGCTTCGCAATGGCACCTTGTATGCCGCGGTTGAAGGAGACGCCTGGCAGTCTGGCAATCTGAGGTATATTCGCTTTCTGACTTACTTATCATGCTCCGACTGTGTTGCCAGGCCTCAGCCTCTTGCAAGACTACCCGTCCATTGTGCAATCCAGCCTGAGCAATGAGCGCAGGCGGCATGCTGCACCATCTGATGGCTTCTTGACTTCCGCTGGATTGACACTCCACATGGCCAGGGTAGCGGAATCATGTCAGATGATCTGCAGCAGCAACTGTATGCATGGAGAATCTGCCTCCAGGGGCGAGCTTATGCTCCAGGTGTCGGAAGGGACCTCTTCGTGTCCGGCCTGCATTTCGGAGGCAAATGAGGCAATGTGTCCTAAGCCAGGACAGAAAGTGCAAATGCGTGCAAATCTCTCAGCCGACGCCTGCGAATGTGACGATGCAAACGAGGCTGCTTTGAGCACATGCATCTCGAACTGTGCCTGCGCCACGCAAAACAAAAAACCTGATTTTGCACGCACACAGTCTGCTCTGCCGAGGGCTTCCCACGGCACCTCTCCAGGCTGCGGCACGCCGCCGCGCCAAACTGCGGAGAGACCTGACAGGGGAGGCGTCGTGCAGCCCCTTGAGACTCGCTACAAGATCAAATGCAAGCAGGCTCCGTCCTCGCCGCCAGGCCCAAAAAAGTTGTGCTACGTGAGTAGACTGCTCCTGGTTCACTGGCTGCAGCTTGGCGAGCATGTATCACAATCCTTACAGCTCCCCCTTCACAGTATCCTCCTTCAGGCCCGCAGCTCCAAAATATTTCGTGGCAAAGCCACCAGCTGCCTGTGAGTCGTCAGTTTCAAATTTCTGGGGTGCCTTTTTGCCACTTCCATGGACTTCTGACAGACTATCATCCGGGACAGCACATCGCTTGGTGCTTCACTTTGCTGCTATGAGGACATGAGTCATGGGCGCATTTCACCTGACTCTTACCCCTGGGGCCCCTGCCTTCTTGCGAGGCAAGGACACGCAAGCGATGTTGGCATCCAGGGCTGTTTGAATCGCATCCTGACGACGGGGAAGTCTTGGCTGGTTGATCTAAATGAAGGGCCCTTATTGTAAATGCCCGTCACTACAAGCACTATCATTCGATGACAAAAGAGCCGACGGCCCACAACTTAGAACGACTCTTGTACTGTCGTTCGGGGTCATCCTGCTGAAGTGGTCGCAGCAGATCATCCGTGGAGAGCCACGCAGCTGGAGCAGGCTTGCGCGTCAGCAGTTTCTGCGCAACAGAAGCTTGGTGAACCTCAGGGAACCAGCATTTTGCTCGCATGAATATACATGTGGTCTTCATGTCAGCACGAACTGCTGAGCGGCGCAAGAAACACTAAGCGACAGCCAACACGGCCTCTGCTCGAATGCCATAGATCCAAGAGCGCTTCTTCTCCAACATCTTCTGCGTGCCGGGCCAATACTGCTTCCTGCATGCAGCTTCCCAAAAAAAGAGAAAAGTATGAGAGCATCACATGACTATGAGCATCTGAGTCCCACAATCTCCCCCCAAAAAAGAGACTTCCAAGGCTCAAGCTTGAAAGCGGCGTATGGCAGCCAAAGCAAGTCGATCGACATGCCCACAGCCTCAGAGGGGTACAGTATGGTAGTATGGTACAGATGAATGTTTGGGGATGTGCTTACTCCAGTTCGTTCGAGGCACCTTTGTCAGGCTTGAAATGTAGCCTTCCAGGAGCTGAGCCACGCTTCCGGGCCTTGAGGCCTGTGCCACACGTCGGTCCCATCTCATGGCCAACAGAGACAAGCCCTCGCCGCCTCCCTGGGGTCCAGCGCGTCGAAGAGTTCTGGCGGCAGTGAGGCCGAGACGAAGATCTTCGCTCGCAGCGGGCCCAGTAGAGCGCCGAGGCGCTGCAGTGAAGCCTGCAACCCAGGCAGAACCCAGGCCCACTCAGGAAGGTGGGGCCAGGATACATCAAGGGCATAATTGGCAGAATTAATCGGCAACCACCACCTCAGGACATGGTAGCATCATCACGTGAACGATGCCGTCGCTTGCTGGGAACTCCTGCAGATTCGATCCATTCAATCCCGCCCCCAAGCCACACGAAACTTCCAAAAAGTGCCCCTGGCTATGCCTGGCTGCAAAAGATGCTTGTCCTTCTTGCTGAGAGCCGCAAGCGCTTGCAGCTCTGCCTCGAGGTTGCAGGCCTCGCCTGGCAGAGGTTTGAATGAAACAGAGAAACTGCTTCCAGCCTTTTTCAACCTTCCTCCAGGCTCGGCCTAGGTACCAGGGGCAGCAACTAGTCTTCCCAGTGACGCGCTGCGTCTTGTGCTTTCACAAGGCAGCTCACCATCGACAGCCACCCCTTAAGTGAGGAGAAGATTGAGGTTTGGCGTCCACAGTTGCAAGCGGTACAAGCAAAGTGGCCGCGCAGATTCCAGCACCTACTCACATCCTGCACAGAAGTCTTGGACAGCATCGCTGGCACAAGAATGGCAAAGGATCACGGAGCAATGGCTGCACTGCCAGCCCTGCCTGACAGGAGGGCAGACCAAGGAATCATTCATCAAGAAGACATGCCTTGCAATGCCTGGCTAGCAATCCCAAACCCCCTAACCCTGAACATCCCTGAATCTCCCTGAAGATTAAACACTCTAAACCCTTGAAACGCCACAGTAACCCTGGAGGCTCTGCCTCCAGACTCCCCAAAGGAAGCCCCCACAGTGCTGGCACCACTTGGGCTCCGTCCACGAGCCTTCCTGCAAACGATGATGCATTGGCTTGCTGTCAGACGAACGGACGTTGTCCGGGCCTCGGTGAAGACGAAGGCCACACTGAGTTTACAGCTGCTTCCAAAGAACAAGAGAGTGGTGTGCTGAAAGCATTCCAAAGCATTCCAAAGAACAGTCACGCGGGCTGTTGCTCAAGGCAGCGGCAGCATTCGGAGTCAGGACTTGCGTGCCCCTTCGTTGAAGAGGAGCTTTGAGACTTGCACCCTGGACATCATGCGGGTGGAAGTCTCTCAAGGGCTTCCTTGGAGCGCGTGAGAACAAACTGCATAGAATTGCAAAGATCAGTGCAGCACAACAGGAAAAATCGGATGCAATACAGATGCGTTACGTGCGTTCAAGGCCAAGAGTCTTGCGAGCCCTGTAGGCCCAGAAGGCTCTTGCAATTCGAGCGACACAGGACTGATCGAGCAAAACAAATCCCACGGCAGCCGTCAGCAGCAGGCGAATCAGCAGGCCCTGCCATTCTCTAAGATAAATTAGCAGCGCGGTGAGCAGCAGAAGCCCACCACACACGGGAAGTCTGTAAGACAGCAGCATGGCTTTCCCAGCTTCAAACCCACGAACCAGCACCACCACCTGATCCAGATTCGTCTGCGCAGAGGCGAACTCACTGTACTGTTCGGGCGGAAGACCCGCTTCTGCAGCTGTAAAGACCTTCAAGAGGGCTGGGTCGCTGGTGATGTCGGGCTCCTTCTCCGTCGGCTGTACTGGCGCTTGGGAGTCGGGATCGTCCCTGTATCCCTCCTCTGCCTCCTTGTCCTCCCTGTCAGGGGCTTCTGGCTTACAGGCAAAGACCAGCACGCAAGCTGTCGAGCTTAAGAGTGGAAGAATAAACTGTGGCTTCCAAACCAAGACCAGCACCGTAGCCCACAGGAGACTGCTGAAGCGCTCTGCATGCTCCAAGAGAGGACTAAAAGAGCAATGAAGATCTTGAATCAGATGAGAGATGACCGTCACATCTCCAAGTACCTTTGCAAAGCTCAACTGCTCGAGAGGCTCTGCGAAGGCCGGGGGCCCCAAACAATGCGCAAAGAGCTCATGCTGAGGTTGAGCAACATGCAGCGTCAGCTGAAGTCGAATCCGCCCGACGGTTTGTGGGCGGATGCCTTTCTCCAAATTCGAAGCACGGGACTTGTAGTTGAGTAGTCGATGGTCATGCTCAGGGTCCCACAAGTTGAACCAACCAGAGACTTTGGTGTTCAGGGGAAGTTGTTCGATCGAAATGTCGACGTATCCTAGCAAATCATCACTGAGACCTATGAAGGATCCCGCAAAGCCAACTTTCGCCGCCTCGCCGAAGTCTTCGTCATGTACATAGATGGACAAGACGCTTCCTGGCCGAAAGACTCGGATGTGGAACTCTTCCTGCCACTTTGGCGCCAGAGTCTGCTTCTGGGTCTTCGTTCGAACATCTGCCAAGTCCCTGTCGTTGAGCTGCGCTTTCACATAGGGATCTGACAGGCCTGAGCCATTGGGAGGGTTTTGAGAGCTGAGGCTAAGTCCAAAACGGGGAAAGCCGGAGTCGCTACGGAGAAAAATATAAAAAGGCAAGCCTCAACAAAGTAAATCCCTAAGCTTCAGAAGGCATGGCCCCGGGCCACGTATAGCCTGTATAGCCATGTAGCCTGTGAAGTCGGCAGCTGGAAGTCCATGGGCCCTGTCAACCCGCAGGTGCAGGACGGCGTAGGGTGCTACGCCGCTGTTCTCATCGCCTTTGCACGGGTCACCCAGGTCAGGTCACCATCGGGGTATTGGGTCAGTCGCTTGCTTTCGCGCCTCTCCATGTAGCAGCCCCGGCATTTCTCTTTACATTTTGGGGCCCTTTTGGGCGTGCTCGGCATACTTACATATGATGTGGTGGGCAGGCGTCGTGGTTGGGGACAATTTGCCGGAGAACGCTCCTCCAATCGTTCCATGCACAGGCATGTTAATCATCCAATCTTCTCCATTTTCCCATGTTATCGGATTTAGGTAATTTAGGTGTCGTTACAGGCTTCTGTGCTAGTTCGCATCCGAAGAACAAAGCACTTCGACTGCGACGCTAGAACCTTCGTCACAGACCTTGAAATGACCCATTACTTCCTATTCACCCGCAGCCCGCTAGAGAGCGGTGATGACAGTGATGACCTGCGACAAGTTGCCGGCAATCCGCGGTGCCGACAAGCACAGCCAAGGCGAGAATGGCTTGGCCACACAGCCTGTGCTGACCGGCTTGGGGGAGTCGTTAACCATGGCTCACGCACGAGCACGTCCGTAGCCCTTATAGCATTGAATATATGAAGGCCGGTGGCCTCTTTATCTGTTACCCTTATGCCCGAATATAGCCTCTAGATACCCTAATAAGAACCCCCTTACAAAACAGAAATCCTACTTAAAGAGACCACGAACCAATATGAAATTGAATCATTGGATGTTGACTGCGAATGCTTTACCGGCTGTACCCTTCCGGGAGAAGAAGCACTGGCTGCAGACAAGAAGGCGCAAGCAGGTGCAAACATGTGCAGAACACACTGCTGAGGTCTTGTGCAGAGAGTGTGATTGGTCTCCCTCTGGCTAGGCCTTTGGAGCAGTAGCTCTCATCGACGGCAAGGCCAACTAAAGGAAGGCGTCCCTCCCACGGACAAAGAAGTGACTTAGTGGCCCCTTGTGTTGTGCCATAGAAGACCGGTCCTGGAGAGGTGATCTGAGCGTTGCTGGGCTGACCTTCAGGAATGCAGACTGCGCATCGCCGGCATTCCTCGTGTTCTGAGCCTCTCCCACCAAAGCCGAAAGGCTCGGGGATGGCAGCTGCGCGAGCTCCTGCACATGTCAGGCTCACCGGACCTCAGAAAGCTTCTCACTTTTCCACGCATGGTGTTGAAACACACCGCGCGGATTAACCCTGGGAGCACTCGATTTTCTTGTCTCCTTGAGCTTCTCGTGCCAGGGCCCTCTCCCGAAGAGACGCTGCAGCCTCTGTTCTTCTTGCACGACACACAAAGGAGCAAATGCTTGGAAGCATCCATGAGATACAAGAGCAGAGGAAGACCGGACAATGGAGCACAGTGCAACGGAGATTGTCAGTTCGCCAGGGTCCCTCATAACTTCCTAGTTCAATGTGTGGAACTGTGGACCCTGAAGTCATTTTTCAGGGTACCAGAACAAGGACCGATTGCCCACACAAGCACGGAGAAGGTTTCAAGCTGCTGCAGCTCAAGCTTCTGAGATGCCAGCTGTGCTGACACATATCGTTTGGGACCATGCCAGAAGAATAAGGGCTCCTGCAAGCGCATGGCGCGGTGGCATCTCAGTAGCGAAGCTCTTGGTGACAGACAATGCTCGCCTTGGACTGCGCGGCCAGCATGTTATTCAGCTGCTTGTCCAGCAACGATGCCTTCAGCGCAGCTCTGCACATTGCATCCGATTGTGAAGGCCAGGGACCCAACGGGGCCCAACCTCCGACAGCAGGACTGGATTGTGCTCGCTCCCCGCCGTGGCAGCCACGGCATGGCGAACCGCGGCCAGAGCGGTGTCCAGCATCAGTCCTGTCTTTCATCAGGAGTTGATCGTGAAGCAATGGACCTGAGACCATCTCCTAAAGATTCATCGAGGTACCAGTAGGTCTCAAGAGGCCCAACATCCTTGGTGCAATACCAATGGCCGATGAATGCCGATAACTCCAAGAGCAGCTCAGGAAGGTCAGGACTGAGTCTGCAGCGCTTGTTGCCAATCTCCGGCTCTCATCCGCTGTGATCTGGCTTTCTAGCCTCTTGTAATTTAAAAACTGCGAGTCTCCGCCTTCACATAACACCTAGGACACCCGGAAGGACCAAGCAAAAACCTCACGACTTCTCGGGGGGTAAGGGGCTTACAAGACACCTTGCCCCACTCCACTATGTAACCCGTCGGCCAGCCCGACAGCCCAAATATCAACCAAAAATTCCCGAACTCCAATTCCCGAAATCCTATGCCCAAAATGTTAGCCCAAAATTCCGTAAAATCTTATTCCCAAAACCTCGAAAAACACCTTCCCCCATAAATCCCCGTTATTCCTCACCCCAAAATCCAGGCAAAGGAAGAAGCGAGAGCGATTAATCATATTAATATTCAATAATATTATTAATCAATAGTTTTTTTAGAATCAAACCTTTTATGAAACATATCATTAACATCGGCTTTCATTAAGTTAATGAATAAAAAACTATACGGTTCTTCTGTTGCTAAATTATAGACTTCTAATAATAGCTTCTTTGCTTCTTGGAAAATTTTCCTATCTGCTACAGAAGATTTTTTGATTAATACAGCACTTAGTTCTTCGACCATTGTTTATATTTCTTTGTACTTCCTTAATCTGAAGAAGAACAACTGACGACTATTGACACGAATAATTGGAGACAATGCGTTAAATTTTTGTGTAGAAGTAATAATATTAATTGCATTATGTCGCCCTCTTACGTATAATTGGTTTAGCAAAGGCGAGTTTCTTGAGAATGCTTTTGAATCCGCAAAATCATCAACTATAATTAATACTGAATGTAATTTATTATGGTTATTCTTTTTTTGATATTCTATAATCTTATGTTGTTTGTTTATGACTTCTTCTAATTCCGAAGGGTTGTAATCATCAAAGAAAACCTTTTCTTTTTCCGTATCCACCTTCAATTCGCTTTGAATATATCTTTTCACAGGAAGCCAATTAGCATCAACGCTAATTGAAGGTGACCATACATGTATTCTCGCGAAGACCTCCTTATAAATGTCTAGTATCATCGACTGTAATAAAATACCTTTACCGCTTCCAGAAGGCCCAGTTAAAATTTGACTAAAAGGTAATCTCGGGGCTACTTCATATTTGGATTCTTTGAACTCGTATTCTTTGACATTGCAGGTTTAACTATTGGAATGCTTGACATTATTATTGATAAATAGAAAATTATACCATGGTTAAAAAAGAACGATTTAAAAATATATAGATGTTATAAATGAAATAGAGAAATTAGATGAAGTAATAAAAGCACCGAGATATAGAAGGTGTTGTCGTAGTTTGTTAGAATTCTTGAAAGCGGTTTGTTATCAGCTTAACAATATGAAAAAATCTAAATAATATAAATGTCGGACACTTCAGACGGTAGTGGCGACAAAGGATTTCATATAAATGCACGCGGTGTTTCTTGTATCCCTTGTCGTTGTAAAAGACGGTTTTGCCATAAAGAAACAAAGACAATCACAGAAGATAACAAAGTAACAACAAGTACAATAGTTGATAAACGAAATACTAAATTCGGCGGTAACGGTCGTCATACATCACCGGACGATATTTTTAAACCAGATTCTGATTTACAAACCGGAAGCGTTGAAACATGTAATGCAGGATGGGGTGAAACACGAATACAACCCGAAGAACTAGAAGAACGTGTAGAGAAATTAGAGACTGATATTGACTTAATTAAAAAGACATTGAAGGCATAAATAGGATTCAAAATTCAGCCGGATTAAAGAAGAAAACCCCGATACAGTCGCCCATTGTTTCTGGATGGACACACGAAAGGGAGTAGTGCGACACGTTCAATAGCATCTCATAAGCAGTTGCTTAATTCGTTTTCCCTTTTGAATTGAATAATAATAAATGCTATTATTACTAATATGTTAAAAACGTGCGTTAGACATTGAAAAAACATTTAACACGTTATTCTATAGACGCGAAAAACTTCTAAACATTTACCAGAACAAAATGAGCATACAAAAAGTAGCTGAAAAATGCGATTATTACGTTACAGGTATTGATTTAGATTGTTGGACGAGTTTAGGATGGGAACAAAGATTGAAGTATGAGCCCGAAACATTTAAAATTTTATTTGGGCGCAGATTGACTTAGGAAAACCGCTAAACGAAGCACAGATTAACAATATAATTGAACATTTGAAGCCACAAGGGTGGTGTATTCAACACGTAAAAGAACCTTTGAGCGATGCCGATATTGAGGAAATTATACGCATTTAAAGGGTAGAATATGTAATAACGTATATGACCGAGGGTAAGGTGAGCACGGATGAGATTTCTAACACTATCATCGAAAACCATAATATGACTCAATTAAAAATTAATGAGATTTTGGGACTTGTTAAACAATTGGCTAAGGATAACGTTAAGAAACCAACCACTTATGAAAATAACACATCAACAACACCAGTCGATAAAGGCGATAAAAGCGATTGGAGTCAGAAAAGGAAAACTTACATGGAAAGACTGAATAAGGGCGAAATAAAAGTTCCAAAGGAACAGAGAAGAAGACAATAATAATATAGGGGAAAGAGAATAATATTATGGTCAAGGAACCCAACATAGAATTACTACTAAGAAGAGAGATTTATTATAATATTATGTGCTCTTTACAATTATTAGTTTAATAAAGGCGTGAATACGCACACTTTAATTGTATGATCTTCGTTCCTTATTATGTTCATCATTACGTTTACAAAGAGTGACACAGGATAAGGCCCTTTTAGTTAATAAGAAGCCCATATAAGATTCATGCAACTTTAGAATATTATGATATTGAATTTAATAAGGAAGAAGAGAAATACCAATTTTTAAAACACCGGCTAAAAACGAGGAATGAGATGTGATTCAATATTATTTGAGAATATTAAAACTCCTCAGGGATAAATATGATATGAAAAGTCGTTTAATTTGTAAATGGCTATTGTTTCTTCGAGTTCGCCGAGGGCGGTTCTGAATACAAACCAATTATCTTTATCTTCGTTATCTTCGTTTTCAATGGGTATATATGATATATGTTCTTAAATACCATTGGGTATAATGCGAAACTCCGTTTAATATATCTTTTATTACCTTACCCCGTATATCTTTACAAACTTCATCATTTACAACATATTTAAATATTACTTTGCATGAGTGGTCTCTATACAGTTCAGGGTTATCAACTGTAAATTAGGATGAAAGTGTATAGGTTTAGGGTTTCTTTTATTTTAGCAGAAGGATTTATTAAAGGCGCTGTGTTTGTTTGTCGGGTGGATATTAAACTTCCCATGATTACGAGTATAGCATAACATACCTTTAAGCGTGTATTTATCATGGTTTGGATGACGGCGTGCACTTATCATGGTTTGGATGGCGAAAGAACGTAACGCAAAACGTCTTAAAGGGATGGTGATGAATTTCTCTGATTTAAAAACTTATACCAGAACGCAGGATTAGAAAGATATTTGAACTCAGGACGAGCCAAAACGAATACAAAAGCAAAATATACGAGCTTTTTGGATTAGAAAACACGCAGAAAGATGTGCATGGCGATGAAGATTTAAATAATATTCGTGACGATGTGCAAAGCTTGGAAAATAGCATATTGAACGCCGAAAACTTAATCAAAAAAATGCTTGCATGATTGAACACATTGAAATACTTTGTAATTCCTATGGTGGAACAAGAGAAACCGAATATTCAAAACGAAAGCCAGAAGAAGCTAAAATATGGGTAGATATGACACTGAAAGATTTTGAAAACCGATATGATTGTAATCTTGAAGTTTTTAGGCGAAACAGATGAGTCTGAAAGGGAAAGCACCACAAGCACAAAAAGCAAACACAAGAAGAAGGGAAGACAATAGGAAGATAGATATATTGATAAAATGTAGTTTAATATTTTAATATTAAATTTCATTAGAGGGACACCTTGCCCCACTATAAGGCTTATTGTTATTCATGGGTTTATGGTTTAGGGTCAGGCGTATTAAGGATTTGGGATTTGGGTTTTACGGCTTGGGATTGGGCTAAGGAATAACGGGGATTTATGGGGGAAGGTGTGTTTAAGATTTTGGGTTGAGGAATAACGGGGATTTGTGGGGGAAGGCTAATTTTTCGAGGTTTTGGGCTTGAGACTTTGGGAATAGGATTTCGGAAATTTTGGGCTTGGGATTTTTGGGCTAAGATTTACGGGTTGAGATTTTGGGCTAAGGATTTCGGGAATTTTGGGCCAAGATTTTGGGCTTGATATTTGGCATTTGGGAATAACGGAGATTTGAGAATATGGTTTCGGGAGTTTTTGGCTTGATATTTGGCCGCCGAGTTGGCGAATGGTTTCCATAGATGTTTTGGGGCAAGGTGTCGTGTAAGCAAGGGTGGTGGAGGGGGGGGGGGGGGGGGGGGTGCCCAATCTCTGAGCAGTCTGGGCCTTTGTACATCTTCCAGCGCCTCTAACGCCGCGACTGCAGCGAAGGCGGCCACATCAGGCGAAGGCCTCGGACGAGGAGAGACTCCAGTGATTCCAGTGGTCCCTACAACATCTGCTCTCCCGGCCCGTGCTGTGCTAATCTAAAAGCATCCCAAATGGACAGCATGTGCAGAGCATGCGCCAAGCGGCTTTGTGATTGCTTTGCCACTCGTCACCTTAGCCATCTGTTGGCGAGGGGGCATCGGCTTTTACAGCCCCCCCTCAAGGTACTGGCGCACCCAAACTTTATCAAACACCGTGTTGCCCGTCAATTGCCAGCAAAGGGCAACGGGAAGGAAACCCAGCAATGCCAAGGGCCATGGGCAGATCATCTCAGCAAGGGCCCTCAGGGCTGTTTTGTTTTGAAGGCAAATTACAGGGGTGGAGGCGGGAGGAACTTTGCAGAGCACCTAGCTCTCAGAATCTTGAAACGGGGCAAGCAAACAAAGGCAAGGCAACGCCTGAGCCGAAACGGCGACGGAAACGCAGATGTCGATGTGCAGCTCTGCTGTTTTGCCTGTATCCTGGCGCTGCGGTGCCAGAAGCACAACCGTTAAGCCATGAGCAAGCGACATCAAGTCACATCAAGTGACATCAAGAGACACCAAGTGACATCAAACGACTTGTTTTCTTACAAGCGCCTGAGTGGAGATCCACCATCCTCTTTCTCATGCTCGTCTTCGCTGTCAGTTTCTGCTTCGGCTCCAGCTGGAGGCCGCCAGCCCTGGTCGGGAGGATGGGGCCAGGACATTTCCACGGTATCTTTCAGCTCCCACTCCTGCGAAGCTGGCCAGGTGTCTGCAGGTGACGAAATCGTGGCGCTCACGTCCACAGTACCCTGCGGGGGAGTTACATATTTCGCATCCTCAGCCGCCTCGTAATCAGGTTTCATAACATCTCCAAACAAAAAATCCCGGTAGGGTGCAGGAATTTGAGCACGACTGCGAGATCCCAGAGAGTTGGTGATGTGCGTGCCGCCGTTTAGTAACATGGCTTCGGTTGCCGTGCCATAAACCTCTATGTAATGAGGAAAGTCTCCTGGCTGGAAAAACTCCTCTGGATTCCTGTAAAGCAGTTCAAGCTTGTACTGCTCACGAGTTTCGCGGGTGAAAAGATGGACCTTGATTGGGCCACAATGCGCCACCACCCACTCATCATCACGCGTTCCGTAACAAAATGCTTCTACAAAAGGAGGCTGGCATGACTGTGTGGCTCGAGCCATGATGTGCCCAAGCCTTCGGCAATGTCTGGCTGTGACCCCTGTAGCAAGGATGGCATACATTCCGACATCCCTCCGGTCGCATTCATCTAAATCAATGATGCTGATGTCTCGGGCTTGCTCTGCACGCAGCAGGTTAGCAAGGAGTTCCGGGGCAGGGAGATGTCCTTTCGGCCATGCCTCAACAACTTGCAACCAATCACCCTCGTGGCCATGCTCGCCATCCTCTTCAAGGCCTGTCGACCAAAGATGGCCCTTTGGTGGCCGCACGACGGGATCATGATAGTACCGCCACTCATCCTCCACATCGGCGGGCTCCTCTTGCTGCATCTGCAGCTCACGGTGCTTTTCGAGATAGTAGTCCTGCGCGCGCGAGACGAGCCGCTCTCGGTTCTCCAAGTAGAAAACCTGGGCAGGAGTCAGCTCGGACTCTGGCTGGGCATCCGTCCCGGCATTTGCGGCATCCTCTGGCACAAGCTCTTCAATGGACCTCCTCACTCGTTGCCTTAGCTCCTCCTCACTCAACTGAGCTGCTTCTTCAAATGCCTTCTGTCGAGCCAAACGCGCGGCTGCCACGGCCTGTTGATGCCTATCCACCTGCCGCAATTCAACTTCCTCGTCATCTCTTTCCGTTTCAAACTGGTGCTGGTCGTCATCCTCTGCGAGGTCTGTGTCCTCAAGCAGCGCAGCATCAATGTCCACAAAGCCACCGGGGGGACCGCCACCTGAACCGGGTGCGGTGCTGAACTCGGGCATGCTGGAGGCATTCGGCAGCTTGCCTTTCTTACGCAGCTCGTTGACAACGTTGGCGAAGGTCTGCGCACCGCTGTTCCATCGAAACCCGAAGACAGCGATCCTCGCGAGCCCATTGTGCAGCTGCAGCCGCCTGGATGGAACATGGCTCAACAAGGTGAGGAACATGGACCTACACTCCCAACTGCCCTATACTTTATACCCGCAAATGCCTACATACCACCCTATGCCACCCTATGCCACCCTATGCCACCCTAATTACGCCACTGCGAGGGAAACAGCTTCGGGCTTCTGATTCATCTCAAAAGCAGTCGCAGGGAAGTCCTGAAGTCCTTTGGCAATTCTGCGAAAACCTATCGGGCTCTGCCCGCAAGCAGAGAGCCGATGAGAACAGAAAACCGAACCAGAGATCAAAGGGCCGGGACTAAGCAGGAGGGGTTCAGTCGTCGCTCAGTGCGTGACTACTATCAAGCCCAGCTCAATCCTAGGGTTTCGGGCTTAGGGCCGGTAGGGTTCAATCGGTTTGCGACATGTGCTTCGATGGCTTTAGACCTCTCCCTACTGGTATGGCCCGCTCTGTAGCCCTTCCACAGTCTCCCCTTGTTGGACCCTCAAGGCCATACGGTTCTTCTGAACTCTTTGCTTCCAATCTGCTCACGATGTACGAGACGTTCCATGCTCGATACGACTCGGAAACGTATGACAGTTCTAATTGTGTTCCCCCAAAATATGTTGGCAGCATTGGTGTTCACCGCTACGCACTCGCCCTCTCTGATCTGTCTACAAACAGCCGCGGACAAATACTTTTTGCAACTTGAACTCAGAGCTCCAGCTTGTAATCCAGCCTCGGCTTGCACGAACCTGTGAAATCATGTGAAATCCACCATTCTTCCTTAAACCCAGTCGGACTAAGTGGCATCTCGGCAAAGTCCATGACCACAGCATCTTCATCGTCCTGCTGTCTTCTCAGCATGCTCAGCAGGCGGTTTCATGCGACGGCATGCTCAGGATGCGAAGCGGGCAGTCCTGGCGTGCGCACTCGCCATTGTCACGAGGGTGGCAACCAAGTGCAGCACCAACCTTGACAGTACTCAGCTTTTCGCCCGAACGAGTGAAGAGCCAGGCTGCCAGCTGATACCAGTACATGTAGTTCTTGGCCGCAGGTACTGTTTCGACAGTCTCCTCTCTTCGCGCTACTTTCTCTTACCGGCGCAAGCAAAGTTGCGCCTGGCCCTGAACAAGATCGTGCAGTGGCCAAAGCAAAGTTCCACCACGCACAGCAGCAATGCATTGCAGTACGTTGCACTCGAGGGCGTGGCTCCACAGTCGCAGGGTAGATCCCAGGCAACTCCAGTGAAGTATTCCAGCCTTCGCAGTCGGTTCTTTCAGTTCTTTGCTCGAGCAGCAGCATCGTCGCAACGAAGGCGAGTTGTATGTGCGCAAGTCTCGGTTTCATTTCGTTACAAAAAGAACATTCACAGCTAGGGACAATGATACTGTGGACATGTGTGCTCACGGCACTTCGCGACATTCGCTACAAACTGTGGCATTGACATCGTGTGAAAAATGACAGGGCAGCGTGCTTGCCTGTTTTCTGGGCCCGCAGCACCAAACAGCACAGCAGGCAACTAGAAAGCGCGTCACGGCCACACGTCCATGCCATCTCGTGTCACACTCCGCTTGAAACTGAGGCATTGCAGATCATGCGACAGCCAGGTAGCTGTGCAAATGCCTGTGGCGCTTTTACTGAGCCCGCAGCACCAAACAGCACAGCAGGCAACTAGAAAGCGCGTCACGGCCACACGTCCATGCCATCTCGTGTCACACTCCGCTTGAAACTGAGGCATTGCAGATCATGCGACAGCCAGGTAGCTGTGCAAATGCCTGTGGCGCTTTTACTGAGCCCGCAGCACCAAACAGCACAGCAGGCAACTAGAAAGCGCGTCACGGCCACACGTCCATGCCATCTCGTGTCACACTCCGCTTGAAACTGAGGCATTGCAGATCATGCGACAGCCAGGTAGCTGTGCAAATGCCTGTGGCGCTTTTACTGAGCCCGCAGCACCAAACAGCACAGCAGGCAACTAGAAAGCGCGTCACGGCCACACGTCCATGCCATCTCGTGTCACACTCCGCTTGAAACTGAGGCATTGCAGATCATGCGACAGCCAGGTAGCTGTGCAAATGCCTGTGGCGCTTTTACTGAGTCCACAGCACCAAACAGCACAGCAGGCAACTAGAAAGCGCGTCACGGCCACACATCCGTGCCATCTCGTGTCACACTCCGCTTGAAACTGAGGCATTGCAGATCATGCGACAGCCAGGTAGCTGTGCCAATGCCTGTGGCGCCTCTAATTACTAAGCCCGCAGTACGGGTACCAGACAGCAGAGAGCATGTCGTGAATACTTCCGCAATGCTGGTGCCAAATACAGCAGAGCAGGCCAGCAGGCAAATAGAAAGCGCGTCACGGTCCCAGTAAGATACATTGCCACATCCAGCCCTACGGTCACAAGTGCCCGTGCTTCTACCAAGCTACTGGGGAGGCGTGTTAAGGTAGTCCAAGTGGGAAAAAGTGTACACGCCGCAACAAGCAATCAGGAATGTTGGAGACTAAGCAGCCAACTTCTCCGCCCATCCATGATACACCGCACAGCAGTCCAGGCCTCGGGCGACAGAACGGACTTGAACGGACTGGATCGACTCTCCTCAAGAAGTGCTACGGCTGCTGCGAGAGCTTGAGAGCCAATGACAGTACCGGGCACGATGCATCCACTCAAGGACAACAGACGGCAGTCGGTCACGAAATACAAGCTGCCAGAGTGTGCATGCGCGTAGTACACTGCGTGTAACTACATGCCAAGTGGCCTTGCACTCCACAGCGGCTCGAGCCCACAGCAGCAGGTTGATCGGGCCGGCGTGCGTAGAACCAGGCTTCGAACTCGATCCACTTGCAGGGGAAAAGGGCTCGGCCCAGTGCCGTGAACTCATGGTAGCGGTCCCGCAGCGAGTCGCGCAGCGCCAGGACACTTCCTTCAACTTCCAGGACGGAGGCATCGAGCTGTCGCAGCTCTCGCGGCTCGGCCAGGTCCAAGCGATCCAAGCGAAGCATCTTGGACCTCTTGGACAGCGCTGCGAACTCCTCGGATTTCACAAAGCTTGCTTCGACAAGCAGATGCCCAAAGCGCTTGATGAAGCTTTCGGCGTCAGCGAAGTAGTCGAAGGTGCAGTCTTCGTGCACGTCTCTGAAGGACGTCCTCATGCCGTAAACCTCCCACATCGGCGACCAACTGCAGTTAAAGCTGTTTGGCAAGATCAGCCGCCTTCCCAGCCAAACTGCAACTTCCAAGGCTGCCAAAAGCTCCAGGAAGTGGCAGGCCAAGCTATTGGCTTCCACGCCGTGGGACACGCACTTGTCGGAGCCCTCGCCAAGTCTGCTCTTGCTGCTCTTGACCGCCTTTGCCTTGTTGCCGTATCTCAAGAACCGGACCCTTGTGGATCCCCCTGCAAATGGGTCCGCTTCTCCGTGAAAGAGGTCCTGTGGCAAAGCCGCTGCCGGAAAGTACTCGTCCTTGTGCACGGGCTCGGAGAAGCGCTCAGTCAAATTTTCGACAAACCACACGCGCCGGTCGCGCATGAAGTACAGCTTGTTCCTCCCAAAGTTTGCATGTGCCACCGGTGGCATGTGCAAGCCCCTGGCACGGTGAGAGCGCAGCCAGAAGAAGCTGGCACCGTGCGCAATGACTTCTGGATGATGAACACGAACTGAGGGATTCAGCACCGATGCATTGTGCCTGCAGCAGGTGAACCATCCCTATGCACGTGGCAGCAAGTGAGCGTCAGGAATCATGATGTTGGGTCGAACAGGACTGCATGACAACCGCCCCAGTGCCAAACAATGTTGCCAGCACCACTGCCAAACCTAGAAACTAACCACACCATGCCAAACCTGCCAACACATGGGTGGCCAAAGTCCCCGAAGCTTCATTTTCGGTTGTGAGTGACACGTTTCTCGGCCCACGAATGCTTGGCATCATGGAACCTGAGGTGGTATCCGGGTCCAGATGTGGACAGCTTTTGTCCGGGGTGTGAGGTCCAGCCGTGGTTTTGCAGGTGCAGCGTGAGCGTGAAAATGGGCTGCAAATGCTGTGAAACACTTTCAAGCACTCAATTCAAGTGTTATCAAAAGCACACGTCATCGCTCCATGGAGGCGCGCCTCTTTCCGTAGGTCATGTTCTCGAGAAGGGAGTAGCAGCTGCCTGCCTCCGAGACACGATGAGAGAGAGAGAGAAGAACTCGTGTGTTGGGTTAGCCATAAGTTAGCTCTCCTGCTTCTCTTGGCTTCGTATACCCCTCTCAGCTCTCTCTTTGAAGCACTCTTTGAACGCACATGAGAGAGCACTTGGCGCCTGGATCTGCTTCCGGACAAAGCGGGCGAAGATTCGTTGGTCGAAAAGGTCAAAGCCTCCTCCAACAGATGGCCCCTGCAGGGACTCGGCTTCTCTGAGTTACGGACAAGCACAAGGCCTCAAGCCTCGGAATCCCATGGGGAGTGGTGAGCATCGATGAAGCCGTGGACCTTTCTCTTCGAGCCGACTCCCGGGGCTGACAAGACGCAATGTACGAAGATCGAAGCGGTCAAAGAAGGGCTTAATGGGACCGACATGGTCAGAAAGAGGAAAGCGGAAGAGGCCAAGAAGACTTGACATGACTTGACGGATCTTGATGGGGCGGGTCCGGACGGAAGAGGCCAAGGCGTCAACGGAGGACTTGACAGGGCCTGCATGGTCAGACGGAGGGGGATTTCAGAGGCTAAAGGACTTGGCGGGTGGGTTTTGACGGAAGTGGCTACAACACGAAGACAAGACAGTCAACGGAGGACTTGGGCACTGTAACATACTGTAACCCAATCTCGAGGGGTTTTGTGAGGAAAAGCAACACACGTCGGCAGATGCGCTAGGGGAGCTGGGCTGCCAGCCAGGTGCAGCGCAGGCTTCGAGCCGCGCACAAACATGAAGCCGGTGTTGATGTGCTCCTGGCACGCAGACTTGGTAGAATTGTTTACATTCATAATGGCTCACGCGGCAAGATTTGCTACGACTTTTAGCCAAGCACTGCGGGGCTACAATTCAGGTTGCTACGATGTCGTTGGGTCTTTAACAGGTGCGTGAGGTTTAATCACAATCCCCAGGTCCAAACAGAAACACCCTAGGCTGCAACGCCGCAGAGTTTAGGAGCATTCTTCTCGCGGTTGATACTAGTAAGGTCCAGGACGGCTGGGGTCATGGCACCATGACAAAACAAGCAAGGCACAGAAGAATCGGCACGCGAAAATGCGGACGTTCTCGTTCGTCCTCATCTCTCCACTTCTCGTCCCATAAGTCTCGTTCGGGGAAAAGGTGATCTGTCATGACCTGCGAACGAGGAAATATGTCTCTTCGACGTCTGTTCACCGAACGATTCTGCTTCGCTGCCTCAAAGTCAGCATCGAAGAAAAAGTGGCTAAAGGGATCACCGAGAAACACCACGTCCTCATCTGGCGGTCGCAGGGTGTTGAAGGCAACAAGATGTGTCGCGAACTTGTGAGGGCTTGACAGTGTCCATCAGAAGCACGCTGAATCCAGAAGCCACAATGCCAGCAAGAAGACGCCTCTTTCCAACCCATTCTCTCGCGAAGGGTCGTGCTCAGTACTTACACGATCCAGCAAAGCTCCGCAACCTGACTACTTCCCTCAGGATCGAGCCAGCGAGTCATGTAGATGTCCGTCGTCTCCTTGGCAACGGGCGATTAATACGATTCGGATATTTTCGGATGGGCTGCTTCACCCGACGACTGTGGGGCGCGAATAAGTGATGAGCAAAGACTCTATCAGGTAACAGCTGTCACAACACTGACGCGCTGCGATCCCCCTATCAAAGCCGTTCAAGGCCACCTGAAAACCGGCAACCGGTACGAACCGTCCACACCCAGCTCCAGCACATGGAAGGCCAAGCAGCATACAGCCAGGTGGTAATGTTCTGACCCCGCAAGAAAAGCAGCGTCCTGGGAACCGGATACCAGCTAAAATTCAGGGCTTCATGGGAGCTCGCGCGCCCTATCCAGCCCTGAAGCCCCAGGCTTCGGAGCAACGACGCCCGACTGCCAACCAAGATCAAGGAGGCGCAAGGAGGGAAGTAGAAGGTGGCTGGCTGGACCCACGAGTTAGTGGCTCGGCCGCCAACTCTTTGTCCAGCGCCAGCACGACGAAGGCGCGTTCCTGGGTGCTGTGCACAGCGGTGCTTCCTCTCGCGAAACCAAACTCTCTGCAGCGTGTCGTGTCCTCGTTATGATGAACACCAAAAACCTGGCAAAGGCTCCCAGTGCGGCGCGTTCAAGCGGATCGACTCGTGAAGATTCAAGGCCTGCCACACGTGCATACGCCAGATATCCATGCCAGCGACAGCTGCTTCATGCCCAAGCACATGTCTAGGCATCTCGCTCATCCAAAGGACCCTACCAGCACTTTGCTGCCAGCCGATGCGGGAACTGACTGTTCGCTCCCGATGCTCCCGCTTCACACCAAGCTCTTGGGGAGCCCCACCATCTTCGAGAACTTGCTACCGCCTCCAGACCAGGTGCAGACCTCAACACCGATGCACAGAGTTCAGGCCCCTTCTCACTCCGGAACCCTCGTCCCTCATCTCTCCTTCTCTCCACTTCTCTCCTCTTTGCACTCCAATACGCCCTCTAGGACCCCAAGGGAGTCTTGAGCTGGCGGCCAGGGTCCCTCGCACCGCGGCAGCTTCGAGCAGCTCCCGGGGCACCGGCCTCACCGCATCTCGCAATCACTACACAGCGAAAAGGAGCTCGGTGACCTCGTGCTGACCGATACAGATGGCCCGGGCCAAAAAACACATTTGGCACACCTTCTTTGGTTGACTAGCCCTGCAGACACTCCATCGACATGTATATATATATATATATAGAGCGTCATAAGGACACGACAATTCCCGCAGACCGGCGTTCTCGCGCCAAGCGCTCAGCGAAGACTGGAGCCGCTGGACCTTGCTTTTCACAGCAAAGCATCTTGCGACAGCTCTTGCGCGCTATGCTCCGCAAATATCCGCTCTTTCCGGAGTGTTTCTCAGACGCACGTAACAGCAGCCGCAACACTGCTCATCACCCGTCAACTAAGATGACACTTGGGGCCAGGGGAGGGCAGGGAGCTGCCTCCTTCAAGCTCTTCACCACTGCCGGATGGCCTTTCGAAGCTTTCAAAGCAGCTATGCAACTCCAGAAGTGCAAACCGCGAAGTCACCGAAACGACATGGCTCCCAGTAAAATGTCGAGACCTTTTTGTTGGTTTGAGAGCTATACGAGCAGCATTGAGACGTTTGAAACCTCCCACACCTGCTGAAGCTCAACTTCTCACGAGCTTCAGCGGACCCTGGGACTGCGGCGTCCGACATGCAAGAATGGGTTTTCGAGATGCAAAGCGCACGCCCGAGATGCATGGCACCAAGCCGTTTGCATCTCGAAAACCCAACCTTGCATGTCGGACCAGGATTCTATTATCCAGAAAAAACTCCTCCCTGTCTCTTTACTTTTAATAGGATTTCCTCCACGGGCTCAGCAGTTTGCATCTCGAAAACCCACCTGTGCCGGTCCGACCCAGATTTTACTATTTTACTATTTTACTATTTTACTATTTTACTATTTTACTATTTTACTATTTTACTATTTTACTATTTTACTATTTTACTATTTTACTATTTTACTATTTTACTATTTTACTATTTTACTATTTTACTAATTTTACGGGAAATCGGGAGTTTGCATCTCGAAAACCCAACCTTGCATGTCGGACCAGGATTCTATTATCCAGAGAAGATTCCTCCCTGTCTCTTTACTTTTCATAGGATTTCCTCCACGGGCTCAGCAGTTTGCATCTCGAAAACCCACCTGTGCCGGTCCGACCCAGATTTTACTATTTTACTATTTTACTATTTTACTATTTTACTATTTTATCTATTATCCAGAGAAAATTCCTCCCTGTCTCTTTACTTTTAATAGGATTTCCTCCACGGGCTCAGCAGTTTGCATCTCGAAAACCCACCTGTGCCGGTCCGACCCAGATCTTACTATTTTACTATTTTACTATTTTACTATTTTACTATTTTACTATTTTACTATTTTACTATTTTACTATTTTACTATTTTACTATTTTACTATTTTACTATTTTACTATTTTAATATTTTACTATTTTACTATTTTACTATTTTACTATTTTACTATTTTACTATTTTACTATTTTCATAGGATTTCCTCCACGGGCTCAGCAGTTTGCATCTCGAAAACCCACCTGTGCCGGTCCGACCCAGATCTTACTATTTTACTATTTTACTATTTTACTATTTTACTATTTTACTATTTTACTATTTTACTATTTTACTATTTTACTATTTTACTATTTTAATATTTTACTATTTTACTATTTTACTATTTTACTATTTTACTATTTTACTATTTTACTATTTTACTATTTTACTAATGTTACGGGAAATCGGGAGTTTGCATCTCGAAAACCCAACCTTGCATGTCGGACCAGGATTCCATTATCCAGAGAAAATTCCTCCCTGTCTCTTTACTTTTAATAGGATTTCCTCCACGGGCTCAGCAGTTTGCATCTCGAAAACCCACCTGTGCCGGTCCGACCCAGATTTTACTATTTCACTATATTACTATTTTACTATTTTACTATTTTACTATTTTACTATTTTACTATTTTACTATTTTACTATTTTACTATTTTACTATTTTACTATTTTACTATTTTACTATTTTACTATTTTACTAATTTTACGGAAATCGGGAGTTTGCATCTCGAAAACCCAACCTTGCATGTCGGACCAGGATTCTATTATCCAGAGAAAATTCCTCCCTGTCTCTTTACTTTTAATAGGATTTCCTCCACGGGCTCAGCAGTTTGCATCTCGAAAACC